GGAGCACTGAGCCATTGCTTGAGTTAGCCAAAAGCACATTACTGATACTGGGTTATAAATTAATTTAAACAATTTCACAATTGGAAACAATAATGATAAGGATTTAATGAAGAAGGGTTGTGCAGTAAAAAAGGGTCACATAGAGGGGAATTTATCAAGACTGGAGCAGGCCAAATCTGGAGCTGTTGCCCATGGCAACCAATCAGCTTCTCTCTTCAGTTTGTATAATTATGATTTGAAAATGAAAGAGAGAAGCTGATTGGTTGCCATGCACAGCTGCTCCTGATTTTGTCTGCTCCGGTTTTGATAAATTCTCCTCATAGTTCCTTTGATGCGTTGAAGATGGCCTTTGGTCTTCAGTAGTGAGGTGGATATTTTGGGAGGACTGGGCAGTATTTGATAAGCACTCAGATTTTATTTGGGTTTGTCAGGTAAAGGTTAGTATTGGGCCCAAATGCCTACTGAAAATGCTTCAGAGGAATAAAAATGGAGATTGTGGTTCCACAAAAAGGGCTTTGCTCGTTTTGTGGCCTGGGCCTACCGCCCCCATGGCTTCATTTTTAGATAGGCCTTGCTTTGGTTTACAATATGGCCACATCCTCCCATGTAGAGGAGAACAAATGTGGTGAGGCCTGTTTGTTTTCATGGCAGTGAAAGAGAATTCAGAGTGGTAATTCATGATTGTTTCATGTCAACCAGTATGGCCGGGTGCCATTTTGACCCAAGTCATCCCTAACAATGACATGATGGGGCAAAAGGGTTAAAAGGGAGATGTTGTGTTGTGTTCTTTGATATGGGTGCCCTAATTGAGACATGCTAAAGCCTGATGAAGGGACCCTGCGCGGTCCCAAAAGCGCTTGTTTGGTCATATGACAAAAAACTTCAATAAATGAAGCTTTTGCTATCTTAAAAGGATTGGTGTGCTGGTGACATTTCTACAATTTTGCTGACATTCGCGGCGCCATCCGCGGTCACTGCGAGCACCCCCCACTACAAGGGACATATCGGTAAGGAGTGCGACAAGGATAGTACTTACTTACTTACTAATTGAGACATGGGCCCGCCTAAAAATGTTTTATTTCCCCAGGCCCACGTAGGCCTTAAACATATATTTATTCATATAGTTCCTGCTTTGGAATCCACATTGGGTGAATTTCATAAAATAAATCAGCATGTATAGAACATTTCTAGTATATTCCCGAGGATGAAGCCAGGACCTAGACGGATTTATTGATGTGAGTTGCCGGATTTGGGGTTAACTGGAACATTTTGAACCAGAGCACTTTATTTAAATGTGCGCACAGAGTGCACATTGGTAGAGTGGCGCTTATAACTCTAACATGTAATGCTATGAGGCGTCCTTCAGAGAGGAAAACCTCCAGCTGTGGTGAAACTACAAGTCCCATGAGGCATTGGAAGACTGTGAGTTACAGGCATGACTGCCAGAGGCAGAGTCTTGTTGGGATTTGTAAAGCGCAGCTGGGGGGGGGCAGAGTTGCCCACCCCGGCATTAAATGGTCCCTTTTAGGATTTTATTCAAGTTCTAAAGTTGCTTTCAGAGAAAGCAAATGTTTCCCAGTTCAGTGAAAGTTCTCTGGTGTCTAAAGACACATTGACGCGTTCCCTATTGTCTCCAAGACATTCCCATAAGGAACGTTGCTGCAGTCAAGGTGACATTAAAGCTGAACTCCAGGTAGATATAAAAGGCACGAATTCTGTTGTCATTAATATATCATTGCAGTACCCGAATTGGACCTGATATCATCCTTTTGCAGTCCCTGTAGAGCAGAGCTCAGGCTGGG